TGTGCTCGAGATTCCCCGCAAGCACTCCGCCTCTCCTTCGCAATGACTGGGTTCTCCATTATACGTGCACAGCCTTTACTTCACTCTATGAGTCACATACGGCACCCACCCGCTAAGGTCTAGCTTAGGCAGCTAGAGTCTTGGACGGGTCGACTTTTTCGACGCAATCAGCCCGATATGAACTGTGGTCCTACCCGACCCGAAACTCGATCGCCGGATCGAGCTTTATGGACCCCACCGCGGGTCGTGTCGGACCGATCGGACCAGCCCGCAGCCAACTGTGGCCTTGAAGCTTCAGAACTTGTGGTGTTTGGGTAAGTCTTCCCTCGAAGCGACTCTGCTGGCTTTCTTGATGCTTCAAGCTATCCCTTCACGTCACTTTCGTGCCGACCGGTTCAGTGCTCTCATATTTCACTACGTTCCGCTGGTAGCTGCTTGCTCCAGAATGACGTCATTTAATGACGTGATCTCATCGAGCTCTTACGGAAAGAGGTGTCCTTTTTGCCAGTAGCTACAATCAGCTGGAGAATAAGACCCTTCTGATAGCGCATTCTCCTGCACCCAACAGGAAACTTGATTGCCGAGCTGCCCGCTGCCCCCCCCCCCCCGATATGCAGGACGGTTTGTTTGATCCGTGCATGGCTCATAATCATACCTCATTCAATGCAAGGATGGAACTCACTGAAATTTGAAATATGCCCAAGGGGCAGGGGGAAATTATGGGAGTCATAACATGGGGGGATACATTGTATAAGTTTCATTCTTTAAAATGTCTCAATTGGGCCGTAAATACTTGGTGGGTTACCAGTTTTTCATTTGCCCCTTGGAATTTTGGGGGCATGCTACTGTATTGGGAAATCAGGGAATATTGGGAAGGGGGTGAGTGACGTGACGCACCAAATATTTATGGAACACGAATCGATTAACCTTAAATAGTAAGACATGAATGCTTCCCAGGAATGCTTGTTGCATCAATATTTTCCGTTCAAGGTTTCTGATTACAAATTAATATTTCAAAATTTAATTTTACCCAAGAAGGAAATTCGAACACCCCTTCGAGATGAATAAAACAACAATAAGGTGTAGCCGCAACCTGATGACTTTATTAAGGATATCGACGAGGGTGCCTCCTCTTGGCATATGACGCTGCACCGTGCGTCTAGTCGGATTCCGGTCTCTCGCCGTCAGTATCCTCCTTCGAGATGCTGTGGGTGGTGTTCTCCGGCCTACTGTGCTTGGGGCGAGGCCTCCAACTCGCCTCGGAGGGAGACTTGGAGAGGGAAAACTTGGAAGCGGTCGTGAAGGAGGTCATCCTTGAGAACCTCCGCGGCGGTTGCTCCCTTTACGCCGGAATAGACCGAGACGAAACGTGGGATTTCCTGACGCAGACTGTCAACTCCGTACACTGGTGGGATTCTTCGAGAAATTCCTCCTCGGTCTTGGTGCAGATGCTCCGGAATTCCCTGAAGGAGACCTGCGTCGCGTTTTTCCTCAGTGTGAACCGGTCCGAAGTCCTGAATCTGAGCCAGGACCCGGTCCTTCGCCAGGAATTCTTCCCCTCCAAACGGAAGAAGTTCCTCTTGATCCGAGACGGGTTCCCGAAGGATTTTTGGGATCTCCCTGGATTTTCTCAAAGCAACAACATCTACATCATGGCTCGACGGACCCACATCTTGGATCTAAGCATCGTCTGCCTCTATTGCCATCGAGGAAACACCACCCACAGAGTAAGGAGAAAATATATTTTCCATATATAAGAGGGGAAAGTTGGAAAGTGAGTTTTAAAAGGTTTTTTTTGGTGCAGATATTGTATTGCACACAACATAATGTACATGTACAGTAGATAAAAGTACGTATTTTGCTGTTTCTCTCGATATTCACCATACATGTTCAGGCGTTTGTTCCAGCGTTTCACTAGATTTTGAGTAGCCGCTTCATGGAATGCGTCATCTCGTGCGTAAAGCCAACGACGTACCGCTGCTTGCACGTACTCGTCTGATTGGAAATGGTGTCCGGCGAGACTTCTCTTTCACTTGAAATTCTTCACCATCCCCCTTACAGACAGACCCGATCTGGCCCCCTCAGACTTTTATGACTTCTGGCCGATAAAGAGAATATATCGAGAAGCAACAAAAATCAAATACCCATATGAATATGAGAATTTTCTGTGCGAAATGCATTACCTACAAAAAAAATTTGATCGACCTTATTTTCCCACTAAGCCTCATGTCCATGACGGCTCGTTACGATACAGCATTGAGGTTTGCTTCGATTTCAGAAACTGAAGAAGTGGCATCTGAATCGTCTAATGAGTAAACAAAGTGTGGCTTTCAAACTCTCCGACTCCTTCCAAGGCCAGTTTTTCGGGAGACACCTCGTGGCACCCGTGAGGCATCTCCCACCTTACACGACTCTCGTGCGGTGCACGAACGGCACCCTTGCATACGGAGGTGAGTGCCCATTTCATATGGTCGTAAATAGAGGCTTTCCTGGAAGAACTTTTGCCTGATTGAACCTGTTTTGCCGGTTTTTAAGGCAGGTGCCAAGGTTGTAAGAGCAAGTCAGCTGCATTTTGACTTCAACCATACGTCTTAATTAATGACCTAGTGGTGGAAACTTCAACTTTAAGAAACGGCAAGAACTTTGAAATCAATGTTAAATTTCAACAAATTAAATTTACTTATAAATTTAGCTTAGTTAAAATTTAAATGTTAACCTAAAGTGAGGTTTGGAATGTGAACTTATCTTCCGAAGCAATTTAATAGTTGGGGAGTTCATCAATTCAATGAAGCGGATTTTGTAGAAAAATAAGGTAATCCATTCGGTTTTTGGCATCAAGCGGCGGGGGCTGAAAGTATAGGTCGGGGATCACTCACCTTCTATTCCCCGGGGTCACACGTTTTTTACTACCTTACTGTGACAATAACTTATTTGGTTCACAAGCTGACACATTCGAATGACACACGGCCAAGGTGGATAATTCATCCATTGGTAACTCACTTGCCTGCATCAATTATGGAGGCATCTTTTAGAACTTCCAGAACTTGCTAAGTACTTGTTACCGTAAATACACGCGGATATTCGTACTATGGAATGTTCCTGTAAGCGCAATTGCTGATAATTTATCGTTTGTAAAAAGATTTATCTGATGATAAGGGATGAAGGCTTTTAATCACTAAACAATCTGGGCAAACGATGCATTTGAAATATTCTAACATCACACTGATGACACTGCACTGTAAATGTAATGTAAAGTTATGTAATAAATGTAAAGGGTTGACCATTACATTTACTGTACTCAGCACACATATCCATCACCGAAAAATGACAGTGAGAATATATATCTCCTTAATGGACGGAGAATGCAATGAAACCACCAGATCCCCCTTGCAGGGCTAGACGGCCAGATCCTGCGCGCCCTGTCCCGCAAGTTCAACTTCGTGGCCGACCTCCTCCAGATCGAGACGACTGCGGAGGCGCTGCGCAACGACCTGGTGGCATCACGGCAGGCGGATTTCGTGCTCTCGGCCGCGACGCTGGGCGACCGGAAGGACGTCGTCTTCTCGCATCTCTACTGGATCGAGCCCATAAAGTTGATCACCACCAAACCGACGGAGGGGGTTCCGTGGAGACGGGTCTTCAAACCTTTCAGCCACACGACCTGGCTTCTCCTCGTCCTCGTCACCGTCTCGGTAGCTTTCGTCTTCGAAGCCTTTTCCTTCCTACCCGTCTGCGTCTACGGCGAAAACAACCTCGGCGGCTGGTACGCTTTCGCCATCATGCTCCTCCAGTCGAACCCGAATAGGGCTCCTAGGGATATGGCATTTCGGATCGCGGTGGGAAGCTGGATCCTCTTCCCATCCCTGATCATGCTCTTCATCTATTCTCAGACCTTAACTGCATACCTGGCGGTTCCCAGCTACGACAAACCGGTCGATAGCATGCAAGACATTGTGAATCAGAAAATCGTATGTTACAATCCAGTTGGAGTCCCCATATTCGACACTCTTTTCGACAACTATCCAGAAGTGAAAGCAAGGGTAAAATATTACTCGAGCGATGGTAACGACCCCTTCTGGACCTTGATTCCCTATCGCGCCATGGTGAACAATCCCGGGAAATGTTGCACCGCCAACACAAAAGGCTTTTTCAGCAGCGCGTCCAATCGATTTCTCATCAATGCCAAAGGACAGAACCCATTTTACCAGTCGAAGCAGAGCGTGAACCCGATGATGAAGGCCATCGTCTTGCAACGTCACTGTCCATACGAGGAAGCGTTCAATGACGTCATCCTCCGTCTCGACCGAGCCGGGTTGCTTCGATGGTGGTACGAATGATTCACATTCACACATTCGGATCTTGAAGAGGCACAATGTTGTTTCCACCCTATTTCCATCGGTTAGATGGCTAATACCTTCAAGATCTCTTGAGAAAATCGTTCAGACTTGTTTAGATGGTGTACCTAGAGAGGATTTTGTCCGAGAAGTGTCACAATTTCGTGCTTTTAGCATGTGCATGCATGTTTCCGCCTTACTCTTTCCCCGCCTTATGCTGTTTGTCACGGAAGAGGACGCCATTGGACAGACTTTTTTTTTTGGTGTCAGTGGATTGTAGTGTTTGGTGATCAGAATGATATCGGGAATCCCACACGAGCCATGCCGCGACAACTCAATCATTATATGCTCTGGCGACGTTGTACGTGTTGGGAAATCGGCGGGAAATAAATATACGGAGACTGCAGGCATGGACGTGAGATTTCATTCAAACTGAAGCAAAAATAAGGGGAGGTTTTGCACTCAATAGTTCTGATGCCATTGTATTCTGGGTCACTGGCTGTCAATGACAAAAGTCACTGACACTTTCACAATATTTTTTCCAAGCAGATGTTTTAACTTTTATTATTTTTTCCCCCAGGCGATGAAAGTGAATAATTTCCTGTTTATTAAGTGAAAATATTAGAATTCTATGGCAAATAAGTTGACGACAGAACAAAAAAAAATACCAGTGGTCATCTTTTCCTAAGGGACTAAGAATGGGTTGCATAAAACTGACATTATGGGCAATGAAGCTTTAAACTTTCATTAGCCCCACTAAAGGAGATTTAAACCGCCTTTTCCTTTCCAGAGTTCGATTACTCTGCATGCCTCGGGAAACCTGGTGGTAATGCAGTTCACAAACATTTCATTCGTGGTGACGTTCCTGATTGGAACTTTAGTCGGAGTCTGAGGACGAATTTTATGTATTTTCTACAGCTTTTTTGACTTCCTTGATTAATATGTTTGGACTTTTCCTGGAATCATGGAACAATGAGGTGCAATTGAAAATGGAAAAATTGTGATCTTTCACCTACAATGGGGGAAAAGAAATGCTTTAACCTGAGCTAGTAATATTGAATCCGTATAGATCTTTGGAGCACATAGGAAGAGGAATCAATGGCCGTTTCAGTCGCATTCACTTTTGTTTTCGGACATTGACGAACGAAGAGCTCCAAACAATTGTTCTCCGGCATGCGAGTGTATCAGAAAAATGAGGTCCAATGACAGACAGAGACCGCAAAGAGAAAATGAAGACTGAGAAGGGTTTGGAACGAAGCCTGTTGAAGCTATGCCGTCGAATTGACGCTGTTCTTCAAGATCCCCGCATTTTGTACCAGGGACACACCGCACTTTTCATCTGGAAAGAGACGATGATGATGAGCACCATCGTTGGCAGCAATCATGGTAATCTAAACGATACCGTTGAGAATGTAAGGGTGAAGGAGGCCAACAATCCAGGATAAATGGAATGAGACATTCATGTAGACACCGGGATGTCCAGGCAGCGCACAACCGTGTCCGTAAGAAACGATCCCAACCTGGACCCATTTCCCTTCTAACTTCCACTGTAACTTTTTGGAGGATGGCAGGCAGGTCCTCTCCCTCCGGATCTGTGAGCCCCCAGCCTGCATCACACATAACCAATGGTGAGAGCATTTTGCTCCTACTTCTATTTCCCCCCCCCTCCTTTCTTTTCTTTCTTTCTTTCTTTCTCCGTTCGCGTATGACATGTCCCAGGAAAGACGTGGCTAATGAGGATAACGCCAGCTATTATTTCTTTACTGTCGTTTTCGCTATCTGGACCACCCCAGTATGAAGCCTCCGAAAACTGAACGCACTATGAGATGGAGAAAAAGAAACTCTGACCTATAACGATGGCCTCGCGATTCCGGAAGTCTTCGCGTACGTCGGGAAGGCAGGCAGTCCAAGTTCCATCCATTCCGGAACCATCCAGTTCAATGATAGCCAGGTCATTGTGAATGGCAAAGTCAGTCTCCTTATAGTCGGGATGAACGTGGACTTTTCCGATGGGGATATCCTTATGCTCTGTCTCGAAGTCCGTGTCGAAGTCATATTCACCGATCCTAACTTTGAATGGTTTCGGATTTTTAAGAATTCTGTGAAAAAGAAAAAAAAAAATATATATATATATATTCGTCCTCATGGTGATTATCAACATAAACTGAGGTATGGGTGGAGAAAAAACTCACTCATCGACACAGTGAGCAGCAGTTAGGACATGTACGGGAGTTATGAGGGACCCGCCACAGAAAGGTCTTCGAGGGAAACGCTTATCGAGAAGAGCAGCCATCCAGGGATATGTCCCCGGCTTCGCGTCTTCGCCTCCCACGATCCGGCCTGAGGATGAGAAGTTCCCTCTCATCGGACAGCATATCGTCGCCCTTCTCCCCGTCAAGCACAAGAGATTAACATTTTCCTCTCATTCCTCGTTCTTTCTCTACTCTTAATGGAAATAGGAAGCAGGAGTGACCATTGTTTGATGTGGGAGCAGGCTTCGCGTCTCAGAGACAATTCTGCGCTCGAAATTCCCCGCAAGCACTCCTCCTCTGCTTCGCAATGACCGGGTTCTCCATTATACGTGCAAAACATAGCCTTTTCTTCACTCTATGAGTCACATACGGCACCCTCACGATAACTTCCTCTCAACAGGGGAGCTGATGGATAGTTACGGGAGACTGTGTGGTAACTGGACTAACCTGGAAAGTATATCCAACAAGAACGAGAACAACGGCCAAGTAAAAGAGACAAGACATCCTCGCAACTACTCCATGGCCCTGACTGTTTGCGTACCTGTGTACGTCCAAACGGTTTAATCCTGTTTATTATCTCGGTCGACTAAGGCACTTATGAACTAGATATCCCCGTATCTCCACTCCTAGTCGATGACGTCACCACTCAGAAATTTCTCATTTCTACGATCCAGATTGAAAACATCCATTCAACGATAGCAGGAACGGCTCTCCGACTCCGAACCGACTGAAATTCGTCCAATCGATTGGCATGGGCATGGCCTCGCGATGACGATCGACTACTTCACTCGCAAAATAACCTTCGCTAAGAGTACTCTCCTGCGACACTGGAGTATTTTCTCAGGAAATGTTAGAGTAGATGTCATTGAAGCAAGTACCGTGAATTTCACGTAAATATCCTTGATGTACAGGGTGGGCCGAAAGAAAAAGATGACTGAAAAATAGTATTTATTTATATATTTCAGGGCAACATTGGATAATTATCATGCCTCAATATTCTGTTGAGCAGCGCGTATGGATTGTCGAATACTATTTTCGAAGCTGTGAATCAGGCCTTAACGATGATTTCCAGGAGCAATTTGACTAAGAACAATATAATAAATTTTAGTTTCTGTTACCATTTTTTTGGCCAACCCTGTACCTCACAGGGATTTTTCAATTCTTTCTTCTGAGCCCTCTCTGAATCCTCGGAGCAGATCAAGGCACACGAACCAAAGTTGAAAACGTAGAACATGCATGAAACCATGTTTCATTTTGTGATTCGATTGCAAGACTACCATGATGAATCGAACTATGAGAAATTTGACGGTTTGTTCTACAATCCACGTTTACTTTACTTTCGTATTTCAAGATTTCATTCATCCGTCGCACGCCGTCACCAATTCCATACTCGAATTTGTTTTAACATGGAAAATCTCTTTTTTTTTATCTTAGAATATGTTGTAAGTGAAGCTTACAACATACGAGTGTCCTTTGGAATGCACGCGGGGGTCCGAAAGGGATAAAGTATTTCCCCTTCATTACCTCGTTTGGTTTGTTTGGACTTTCCCACGCCTCATCACGGAACAACGTGATAGAATCAGATTTTGTAGAAAGCTTTAATTTCATGTAAAATGCGAAAATACTAAAATATTGTAACACAAGCTCGCCCAGTGGAATCCCCATACATCTCCGTACCACATAGGGAAGAAGAAGCAATAGCCATTTCTGTCGCATTAATTTCATTTTACTGATAAACAAGGAGCCCAAAACGATCGTACTACGGCGCACGAAATCACGATGCAAATGAGCTGAGACGAGAGTCGAAGAATGGAATGAGAAACGCGAAGGCGAGAAGAGCCGGGACCGGAGCCGGTTGAACCGAGGCCGTCGAAATGAGGCAGTTCCTGAAGACGGCCGAGTCGTTTGCCAGGGCCGCCCTGCACCCTCCGCCTGCGAAGCGATGGGGATGGTGAGCTTCCTTTCCCCGGCAAAAATCACTTGGGAGGCTCTAGTGATCAAATGGTTGCGGGTCCGACTGAGATTTCATTGAGAAAATTAATGCTTGATGTCCTCCCTTATTTTTGAAAAATAAAAGCGAATTTCGGCGCTTTAACAGAGGCGGTTCTCGAGATGTTCAATCCCAATGTTGGCCCCGGGGGAAAGGTGACCACATCGGCGACCGCCTATCTTTGTCCTTGACTGAGAAGGTATGGAATTTCAAAGCAAAAAAACTCCGAAATTTACATCAAAATTTCGAATTCGGGGGAATCGTGGTAACACGATGGGCTTTCGCAAATTTTAGCTGGCAATAATTAAGAAAACAGTTCAATTTTATCAGCTGATTTTTTTTAAACAATGAGAAATAATATAAAAAAATGGAAAGTCCACTTCGTCATTTTTCACTCAATTTATATTTATATTTTCTGTTTCAAGCAAGACAGGGACTTTAAAATAGTGTCAAATGAGAGCTCGCTTCTTCCTCTTTCCTTGGATGTTAGACTTGTGCTCTTCCTTTGAAATGTCGAGTTTGTGGGAATTTTGCATTTTAGAACTCGCCACATGATATAATTTACCAAAATTCCTAACAATGGGACCTACAAACAGCTTTGGTTCAAAGATCCCAATAACCATTTTTGTGCTGATGCGCTGAAAATGAGGTTTTTTCATACCTTTGGGAAGTCATTGCACGTGAATTTTCTCAGGAAAATTCCCATCGGACGCGCAACCAAAGCACCTCAATTTGACCACTTGAGCGCCCAAAAGGCGATCCAAACGTTACCATTGAGAGTGTACGGGTCGAGGCAACTAGCGATCCAGGGCAAGTAAGAGGAGACATTCGTGTAGACACCAGGATATCCAGGCTCCGCGCAGCCGTACCCGTAAGAAACGATTCCCACCTGGACCCATTTTCCTTCCTCGCATACGTGCAAGGGTCCTCCGGAATCCCCCTGGAAAAATAAGAAAAACTGCGCTTCACGTCAAGATCTAGAAACAGGCGCGAGAGAAGAGCGACATTCAGGATTTCCATGCCTGGCACGAATCCTTTCCCCCATTCCGCTTCCCCGCACACATGTGAGAATCCGTTATCCCCTGGTAAAGACGTCGGCACTCCTCTTGAGGATAAACATCCACAATGACTTGTTGAAGATTGGCAGGCTGGCCCTTCTCATCTGGATCCGTCACCCCCCAACCTGCATCGCACACGACCACCGAGTTAAGAAATAGAACGTCGGACGGCACGCCCATAGGAATAGTATATGCATGCGTACTGCAATCAGGTCCAGCCCTACTGGTTGGTATCATGGCCGCTTATCGCTATTGACTCTTAGGTGATTATCCAGACTTTCCACCTCAACTCTCTCCTAAACACGATGGGAAGTAGCTACGGTAAAGCGAGCGTAATCTGTCCTACTTGGAACCTGTAGGCCCTACCCAGTCAAAAAATTTCGTTGGTTGGGCCGTAGCTGGGGAAGCTGACTGAAGAATGATTGGCCGGCCAACTCACAAGTGACTCACAAGTGTGAGTTGGCCGGCCAATCATTCACCGAAGATGAGCCAATGTGGCTGAGAAGGTTCCGAATACCGACGTGTGATGGAGCCAAAGTAGTCGCAGTTGGGAGTTACTTCTCGGATTCGACTGAAGTGAGTCCCCTGTCCCTTTGACACGGTTCCCTATGGTTTCTCAAATAGATCTCAAAGGAAGACAATTAAATTCCTTGAAACATTTCTCGAAAGGTGTAACCTGGAATAAACCAGGAATTCCCTGCCTGGAGGGAGAATCCTTCTACTTTCCACAATAGGCCATTGGAAAACAAAGACATCGGAATGTCTTATTACTTGTAAGGAGTGCCTGGCTTGCCCATGTGATTCAACATCCGGAAAGAGTGTTCCTTGGGATATGCTCAGCTGTTGGTGAAATTGCCCGAGTACCTTACACAGTACCTGTGTAAGGTACTCGGGCAAGGTACCAATCCTTCATCTCTCCCGGATGAAGGAGTAGGAGGGGGCCAAAGGATGCATTCTAATTTCTCCAAGATGTATAATGCTATAAATGCGCCTCATGTCGGTTTGTTTGTCCTATCTTTTCACCATTGTGAAAAGTCGGCTTATGGTTGGGACGCGTGCAGTTTCCCAACAATGAGCCAAAGTTGGGCCAACAGGACATGCCCGACCATAAGCCGACTTAAACTAACCGTAGGGCAACCATATGCCAATGATGGCCCTACATACGGCTTATAGACGCGTCGACGAACAGCCATCGATGGCCCGATTAAAAGTTTTTGACTGGGAATTGAGTCCTTCCAAGACTTGCATCGTGCACTTTGATTCCAAGCATCAGTTTAAGCGAATGGCAGGACTCAAGGGTAGTCGGGAATCGGTAAAAAGCAGAATGCTATCGATTCAGGTGCGAAGTGATCCCCAGACTTCCAAAAACCTCTGTAGTTCATTGCCCGTGTAACGGAACGGGTTCCTCGGGACCATTGAAGCAATCCCACAGAACCCGGAAGCATGCCTTGCCGTGACGCCCTCGAAGAAACGCGTGGCCGACGAGTCAAATACGATGCCAACCATTATTGCTCTGCCATTGTCATTTTCGCTGTCTGGACCAACCCAATACGAACGCTCTGAAACCCGAACGCACCATGGGATCGAGCAAAAGAATCCCTCACCTATAACGACGGCCTTGCGATCCCGGAAGTCTTCACTTACTTCGGGAAGGCAGACAGTCCAAGACGCATTCATTTCGGGACCATCCAGTTCGATGATGGCCAGGTCATTTCGTAAATTTGTCTCCACATAATCAGGATGGACGTAAACTTTTCGAATGGGGAAATCCCTATACTCTGTCTCCGACGCCGTGTCAAAGTCATGCTCGCCGATTCTAACTTTGAAGGAATTTGGTTGTTGGCGAACCCTATAAAAAAAAGAAGCTCTCATCGCAATTATTAGCATAAACTCATGGATGAGCAAAAAAAAGGACTCACCAGTCGGCACAATGCGCAGCAGTGAGAACATGGACGGGAGAGACGAGGGACCCCCCACATATCGGTCTTCGAGGGGAAGGCTTATAGAGCAGAGCAGCCATCCAGGGATATGCCCCAGGCTTCGCCTCTTCCCCTCCCACGATCCGGCCCGAGGACGAAAATCCTCCTCTCATCGGACAGCATATCGCCTCCCTTCTCACCGGCAAACACAAGAGACTAATATCATCCTCTCATCCCTCGTCCCTTCACCGCTCTCGACGGAAATGGGAAGCAGGAATTGACCGTTGCTTTATGTGGGAGCAGGCTTCGCGTCTCGGAGACAATTCTGCGCTCGAGATTCTCATCAGGCACTTCTCCTCCGCTTCGCAGCGACCGAGTTCTCCATCGTAAGTGCAAAACATGGACTTCTCTTCACTCTATGGCCACACGGGGCACATTCAAGCGTACTATTTCCCACAAACCTATTTAGTCACGGTACAAGTGGCAGCTGGACTAACCTGAGAAGTCGGTCCAACGAGAGCGACGAAAAAGGCGAAGCAGAAGAGGGAAAACATCCTGGCGATTCGTCCCCGGCTTTCGCTCCGTTTTTTTGTGTACCTGTGAGCGCTCAACTCTGTTATCCACCGTATCGACAAAGGCACATATAAAATTGATAAGATTTCTCCTACATTCACTTTTAGAGTTGACGGGACCAGAGAGACTTTTTTCCATCACTCATCCAATGAGATATAGCAGGAAGACTCTCCGTTTCCGATCGATGCGCAAATCCGTCTCATTTCGGCATGAAGAGATGAGCCTCACCTCCATGCGATACGCATTGCTACGAAATAAATTTCCGTGGAACACCTTCAAAAATTGCGCCGAGACGCAAGGGGAACGAGAAAGTTAACGGTTCCAACCGAAAGTCGAGACGATCTCCCCGTCTCCGGCCACTTACAGTCGCCCAGGCACACCGTCGAATCACCGTCAGTCGAGTCCCCGGTCGTAGGAAAAGGATGTCGAGGCTGAACAGGTTCGGGTCTGGAAGCGAACATTTCTTTGGGAGGGGATCGAGGGTGCAGATCCACATGGAGTCTGGATCGATCTGGATCGATCTGGATCGATCTGGATCGATCTGGATCGATCTGGATCGATCTGGATCGATCTGGAGCGATCTGGATCGATCTGGAGCGATCTGGATCGATCTGGAGCGATCTGGATCGATCTGAGTCACTGTGAATGCTTGAACGCGCGGAACGATGAGATTCAATCGATGGGAGATCCATTCGGAAGATGACTAGAATTTAAATGATGATTAAATCCCCTCCGTTTCCCTGAGAAGAGATTAAGTGTTTTTATTTTTAAATTGAAATTCCTTAATCTTGGAGGATAGAGCTTTCCTGGAATTCCCGTCGCGATATTCAGTTGGGAGTGTGAAAAAAAAATTTTTACGACTCACTTCCGGTGACTTCTCGGATCGGCATGTCGCACCATCCGCGATTTCGTTGCGAGAGTTTTTTTCGCCACTTGCTCAGTAGGGAATTCTTTGGTACGAAGCCTCGGAGGTAGCAATTTTTTTTTTTTTTTTTTACTTCTTGGCCGCGATCGTGCTTCGGGTCTGCTGGGCACAGTTGGGCCGTAGGAGCAACATGTCAGGCAGAAAAAGAAAAAAAAATTGAGCCGTTTAAGGTTGGCGTCCATGCAACATTCGCGCGAAAAGTCCAGTTTAATTATGGAGAAGGAGTTTTTCGACTAGAAGAAATTCCCGGACCTTCATTTCCCCGGGAAATGTCATTTTCATCAGCCGTCTCATCAGACGTCTGATCCTTCCGGCCCAACATCATTTTTAAGGCCGCGCCCGTATCAGTTCCACTCGGATGTTCTTCGATTTTTGCATTTCGGTTTCATAGCATGCTATTTCTCGAAAAGTCCTAAGAGACCGTGCAATTTCCTTGACAGTAAATGAAACACTACGAATTCTTCTTCAGTATAATTTATTTCTATTTTTTTTTTCATAGAGAAATACGTGTAAAAAAAATAAGGTACAGGTAAATAATGATATTTACCTGTACCTTATTTTTTACCAGATTTTTCAATTCGTCCTGTATACGCTTTCCGAGTCGCAGAATTCCTCGTTTGTTCAATTATGCTGATAGCAGGCAATAAGCCTCGCCGTCCCATCGAACATCGATCGAACAGTTCCTTCAACAGCTTCGATAAAGCTTCGGTTTCGTGGTCTTCCCATCGAGTGCACGAGGACCCCCCCCCCCCTTTTTTTTATTTTTTATTTATTTTTTTTTTTGCTTTCGTTGAACTTGCAGGGAAATAGTTGCCACTTGCAGCGTTTACATCGAAGAAGCCATTGAATCCTTTTCGAAGCCCTTTTGCGCCTTGAACACACCTTGAACACTCTCCGCAAAAAGTGGAATCCAACGGAGAAGATCGACCATGCGACGAAATTTCTCGCCCGATCGCAGAGAATTCGGTGGAGCAGATGGAAATTTTTATCGATGAAAACCGATCTCCGATCTCAATAAATCACGGCTCGCGGGGCGCGAGCCGTGATTTATTGCCATTCGGGCGCAAATTGCATTCCTCGTCGGGAAATGAGTCTCTTCCTATCTCGGGCTTCACTTCCTGAAGACGGCGGAAGAATGCCGGTCCGAAAACATATCGAAATTCGAGGGAATTTTTTATTATTATTTAACGTGATTTGGTCGCCTCGCCCTGGTCGGCCGACGTCGGCAACATCTAAATTACATATTGGCCACTGCGGCCGATGTTGCCTCTGGGGGAATGGCTTGGCCATGGCCAATTTGCATGTGCGTTCGGCGGCCGTGCCTCTGTTCCGTTTCGTTCCTCTCCGTTCTGTTCCGTTCCGTTTCGTTCCTTTCCGTTCTATTCTGTTTCGTTCCGTTTCGTTCCGTTTTGTTTCGATCCGTTCAAGTGTCCAGACGTGTTTCCGGCTCCATCGACCTCGAGCTGAAACCTCATGAACGTATCCTTCGCTCTGGAAAATTGTTTCAAAGTCTGTTTCAAAGTCTGTTTCAAAGTCTGTTTCAAAGTCTGTTTCAAAGTCTGTTTCAAAGTCTGTTTCAAAGTCTGTTTCAAAGTCTGTTTCAAAGTCTGTTTCAAAGTCTGTTTCCGAAATCCCATAAAATACTCGTCGACGTTCAGACGGCGCAGCGCAAGCGAATACCGACTTGCTCGCCGCGAGAGCCATCTGCCGCTTCGTCGATCGTCGCGGCGAAGGATTTGAACGAGCCCCAGGAATGACTCTTTGCAGAAGAGTCATTTCTCTCGTTGCAGAAGAGTCGTTTCATCGGTTCGATTCCGTTCCGCCGATCCTGGCTCGACCGCTCGCCGTTTCCGTCATTTCACCGCTCGGAAGCGGCCGAAACGAAGGACTGAACCCGAGGCCAGACTTTGCCCACTCTTCCACTCGAGCGATTCCACGAACTAGGAAAATCTTCACCTCCATTTATACTACACACTGTTTTTTTTTATGTTACCGTTACCATTTATTTCGCAACAATGGCACGACTCGAAGAGGAATGGCCTCAGAATAGAAGATTCAGTCGATTTCGGGAAGAAGCAAAGGGGAGGGCCGATTCTCTTCCTCAAAGCCTCCTTCATTAGGTCAAGGGAAAAATGAGAGGAAATTGCCGCACATGTTTAGAGACGCGTCTCATTTTCTGGGTTGCTGGATCGCCCTTTCGCCTCTCGCGTGCCTCTTAGCCAATACTATTACCCTTACGAAAATGCCTTATAGGATTCCTATATATCCCCTTAGGAATATATAGGAATCCCATAGGTTCCCTATTGGCCCCATAGTGTTCCGTTTGATACCTATATGAACCCTATAGAACCTGTAGAGTTCCCTATAGGGTTCCCTATTGGTCTTATGGAGTTTCGTATAGGACCCATAGGGTTCCTTATAGGACCAATAGCTCTCCCTTTAGGACCTATAGGGTTCCGTTTGAAGTTCTCCTCCAGGCCACTAGATGGAGGGATGGCGTTCTCGCATTTCTCACAGTAAACAAAAGTGCCCTCCCCTTTATCCATGAAATCATTTCTCACAGTCGTGTTTTACACGTCCCCAAATAACTCGCCTTGTCTCATTGTAGCAATCAATAAACTTTGACACTTCCTTATTTGTCATCCCCATCTTCTAGATAGAATCATGGAGTCCAGGCGTGAAATGTGCTCGTATTCCTATGAGAACAACGTTTGAGAATTTCCGAAAGGAGTTCCAGTGAAGAGACTGCGTTCGCTGGCTCTGTCTGCCATTTCCTTAGAGAGAAGAATGATTCCTCTCTCTACCGAAGTAAATGGTCGCGCTATCTTGCATATTCTAACGACCTATGTGCGATGGACAAAACATACAGGCGTAGACAGTACTAGTATTAGAAATGCAAGTGCCCCTACCATGAGAAAACCGCTACTCTGTAATTAATATGCACCAAGGTGCCTGCCCTTTCCGGTGACCTTGGTTTTCTTGGACCCTATCCTTTCACGGGACATTGGGTTTTCCGACCTTGCCCTTGCCCATTCTCGTCTTCACCTCGTCCCTTTGTCATGGAGAAGAGTTGGCCCATCTTCAGCGGAATTGCGTCACCGCGCCCCATGCCCCTCGCCTCATTAACGCCGTCATCATCATCATCATTATCATCGGAATCACCATCACCATGATGATCATTTAAATGGCCCTCTCCCCATCTCCCTCCTGATACTCGAGATCTCGAAAGACCAAGACCCTTCCCTCCCACTTCCCTCCCACTTACCCTCCCTCCTCCCTCTTCCCTCCCACTTCCCTCCTCCCTTCCCCCCCCCCTTATTGGGATTCCATCACCGCCTTGATGGATTCCCTCTGTGATCCATCCATCCTCCTAGTTCGCCACACGAATCGTCGCTTGCGTGGAATGAGAATCCGTGAGCCTTTTCATCTCCGCGCTGCTTCTCCCGGACCGCGAGGGCGAAGCCTCTTTTAATTCAGAGTCTCATCGAATTTCCATTTTCGAATTTCCATTTTCGGCTGCGAACAGGAAGGTTTCTTTTTTTTTTCGCCGGTTCCTTCTTTTATCGTCTCGGTACGACTGCCGCGAATTTGACATGATACAGTACGGTACTGTATGGTATGGTGTCTCCAAAAATCATCTCAGAATCGATAATGAGTAGACTCTCCTTTTATCCCTTACGGAAATGTCCTATAGGAAACCTATAGTTACATTCTTTTAGGTTTTTGAAACACGAAAAACCGATAGGACCCTATAGGGTCTTATAGGACTCTTTCGTGGATGATTTTTTGGGTTTCGAAACCCAGGCATTACGACAGAAAAGGCGACCGGGGTCAATATTGGCGCAGCATTTTTGTGTAAATCAATTACCGATTGGGGGTTTTCCCATGATTGGGGCACTTGCATTACTAATACTAGTACTACCCAGGACTGCATAATTTAGTGCCCAGGCCCACATATGTCGCTTGATTGCGCGTCCACTTCCTTCGGTACTTATTCTCGAACGTGGTTTTCAAAGAGAATATGGGCACATCTCTGGCCTGGACTCCATGATTCCATCTGGAAGATGGGGACGACAGATAAGAAAGCGTCCAAGTTGCTACAATGAGGCAAGGCGAGACAAAGCTCTCTCGTGAGAGATGATTCCATGGATAAAGGAGAGGGCACTTTTGTGTCCTTTGAGAAATACGAGAACCCAATACCTCCATCTAGGAACCCTATAGGCCTATAGGATTCCGTAAAGGTCCTATAGGGAACCCTATAGGTCCCGTAGGGAGCCATATGGGGTCTATTGGGGAACCCTATGGGGGCTTATAGGAACTTATAGGATTCCTAAAGAAATATATAGGAATCCTATTAGCTATTTTCGTAAGAGATCTTCACTAATTAACTCACTATTACATTTTTAAAAATTCCCCGATTTTGCACAAATTTGCTCCGTTGCTATCAGCAATGCCATCGAGAACGTGAAACCCTGGAAATATCTCCGCCTTCGGTCGATTAGACCGGAAGAAAAGGGTTCATGGAAAAAAAAAATGGCTTTGCGGCACCGTCCCGCAACATGGCGATAACTTCTCGTCGAGCCGAGATGATTTATGGCTTCTTTTCAAGGGGCCATCATTCAAGGGGCCATCATTCAAGGGGCCATCATTCCACCGCCTCTTTCCGGCTTTTCGAAACGTGTGCGACAAAAATTATATTGACGCGTTGAGGACTCTATTTATTTTTTATTTTTTTTATTTGCTGAAAAGTAAAAAAAAAAAAAAAATAGACTAACGCGATTGGGCACCGATGAGACAAAATCAGGACAAATCCGCCAAAAAAAAAAGTTGGGGGAACTCTGCCGATTTCCCGTCCGAGTGAGTGTGAGAAAAATGGAATCGTGTTGCGAATGTTCTCCTAAATGGCCATCAAGTGAATGGCCATCAAGTGAATGGCCATCAAGTGAATGAGCTTCCTCATGTGTAACATTTCCTCATCAGGAAATTGAAAAAAAAATTTCTGATGCGTGCTTCCTTCATTATGAATCCTTACGGGAATTTTCTATATTGAGACCTATAGACTTTCTTATAGGTTTTCAAAACACGGAAAACCTATAGGATCCCTATAGGATCCCTATGGGGTCTTATATGACTCCTGACCGATAGGATTCGGGGAGGATTTTTTGTGTTTTGAAGCCCTTGCATTTGGTGTAAATTGATTACCGGCTAGGGTTTTCCCATGATAGGGGCATTTGCATTTCTAATATTAGCGTAGCGCGACCGTTCGAATCGCGGGTCGGGAGAGATTAGCAAACGAAGAGATTAGCATGTCAGGCGGCACTA